AAAATGTTTTCTTTGGACGAACAGTAGAAATTTTTCAGATTCACACTATATTGGATTTACATAGTGATTTGCGTCATATTACACTATGTTTATTCTTCTGTTGACTGGTGGATTATCAATTAATATATTAGTTTTTTTTGATATACAACTGATTTTGAATAAACCTTTAACCAAGAACTAGTTACCAAAACCTTGTCATATAAAGTAACAATATATTTGATAACTATCTCAGTGTTATCTGAAAAAAGTTGCAGTTATGTGAAATTTTTATAGTATAAACAAATCAGATTTCAAGATCAAGTAAAATGTTATACAATTAGAAAAATTCAAAACAAATATTTATATTGTTAAAAATTGCTTGTTTCTTAAAGAGCAATATAAGAAACTACTTTTAGTATTTTAACAAAAAGTTTTCTTTAAGTAATTTTACTATTAAAACTTTTTTTACTTTAACTCTAGCATAAATCCTAACTCTAACTTAATCAAACTTTAAAGAATTTTTTGATTTTTATATAACTGCAATATTTTCAAGTAATACTGAGAAAGAAATATGATTGATACTAAACAAAACACATGGTTACAATCTACTAGATTAGTTAAATTTAAAAGAAGTAAAAATGCTAATATTTTGATGAAGATAAGCCAAATTGTCCACTTTTTTTGAAAATTTTAATAAGGTGGTAAAAAGTAAAAAAAAAAAAAATATATCTATATTATTATAAAGATGTATGTATTTTTTTATTAAAATTACCAGTAGCCTAAATCATTTATACATAGTGCTAAGTTTTTCTAGTAAGTAATAAACTCTAAACTTGTCAACAAATAATATATAAAAACTATTTCTAAACAATTAGTGCCATGCTTGCAATAAGTAATAAACTTTGAAGCTATTAGATGAGAACAATCTCTAAATAATAGCTGCTATTTTATAACCTTTTTTCTTATATCTTATAAGTTAGTCTTAAACAGTTTTATTTTTTTTTCTTAATCAAAGTTTTTTGGTGAATTTTTGGTATAGATAATTATCAGAAAGAATTGATATTTGATTTTTTTTTATTAAGTAAATTTGTTATTAAATTGCTAGCTATTATAAATTTCAAAGTTAAAAAAATACTATAAGATTTAACAAATTTATTTATTTATTTTTTTTTTTTGGCCAATCTTGCTTTTATTAATAAGAGAATTCCTAAGAATAAAATTTATTAACTAAGCTAGATCCAATTACTATTCTCTTTTTATCTAATAAAAACTTATATGGCTACCTTATCACTAGCAACTATTGCCAATTTTCAGTGCTATATGTGACTGCTGCAACAAATTGTTTACTCATTTACGAGGCTCTAACTTCCTAGAACTTATCCATCAAATCACTATAAACCACTTGTTAGCTTGTCAAGATTTGCCTTATCTTTCTTTCTTCATTATCTTCCCTACCTAGATCTGGGCAAAGAAGTTTATTCCACACTTTTATCCAAGTAATAAAAACCTTAACCATATTTACAAAAAAAAGAAAACAAAATTTAGAAGACAAAAACATAAAAGAAAAATAAAATAAAACTAAGACAAAAAACCAAAAAAAAACAAAAAGAAAAACAAAAATCCTAAATGCTATTCAATTATAACTAGAAAAAGATAGAAAAAGCATAAAAAAAGAAAGAAAAAAACAACCAAGATAGCACTATTATAATTTGTGCCAAGGTTTAAAAAATTATATACTACTTTAAAAAGCAACATTTGTATATCTCTATTGTAAAGCTTTGCTTCACTCATAAGTTAAAAGAGTATATATATTATCTTTATATACATAATCAAACATAGTAAAAAAATACTTTATTTCATTTTAATTAGTTTTTTAAGTTAACCAATTATTACTTTTAAATTATTTTTTGAAAAATATTAATTTTTTAAAAAATTAATCATACCTGTTAGCTTGGCAACTTCAAGGCTATGCTTTGATCCAAAACAGTAAGCTAATTCTTATTTTTATACACTCGTGATGATAGATAACAGCCAGTGTACAGTCGTTAGATAAGATCTGGAGATTTTATGCTAACAAAATAAGAAACCTAGTTTTATCCTTTATTAATTAAAATCTTAAATAATGAAAAGACGAAGGGCGACAAAACTAATAAAATATGAAGAAATAATTACTAATTCTTGAAAATTTACTTGAAACGAAAATCGAATTTGCAAAAGAAAATGATCATTCATAATCATATAAATAATTCATGCTGTTTTCGATGATTTTGGCTTAAATGAATGCTAAGATTCGATATATTCATTTAAATCCAAGATCATCAGAAAGACATATCCGTTCTCGAGATATCACATTTAATAACGCATTCATTGTGAAATCGGAAATGAATAAACAAATCCTTTTTTGATATTTTGAGTTTAAATGAATGCACGGAATTGTGGCACTCGTTTAGACCCAAATTCATTGAAAACAATTAGCATTGCAGAAAAATTTTAAATTATATAATTTACTGGTTCATTCGCTCCTGGTTTTGGTATAATGTAATTGCACAGTTACCTTATTAGAATGCCAATTATTAAAATTTTCAGAGAGCTAAACTCACTATGATAATATGGGGGTGAGTCAATAGAAATCAAGCAAATTTTTTATAATAAATTTTTTTTTATAACTTTAAACAAAAATAACTTGATGAAAATTTGGCCAAATTTGATAAAAATTTTTTTAAATAATTTTTACAAACTTGTAGAATTATTTTAAAAAAAAATTTATTGAATTTGATCAAGTTTTTGTTAAGTTATTCTTGTTTAAAATTTTAAAAAAACTGATTAAAAAATATTTGCTTGGTTTCTATTGACTCAACCCCATATCATAAATTCTTACAAGCTTTCATTTTATAATTTACATACTAATATTGCTTACCAGAAAATTACTCAACATTCTATAGTAAAAAACTTGTGAACCTGATAAATTCATCATAACGAGGAAGAATAATACATTTATATTTACTATATTTATTTATTTAAATTTTTGAAAGATGTTAATGGCTTATTTGACAATTTATAATTCCTGTAATTGGCTTAAATATACAAGCCAGGTCAAGCCAATAACGTTTTTAGCATTATATAAAAAGCCTCAAATATCATATTATTATCGCGCAAACTCTTATGATCATAGATTTTTCTTGTTATTTTTTGTACGTTATTACATAAGCATAACAATCTCGAATTAAAACTCAGTTAGCCAATAATGACTTGTAAATCATGATCATAATTGCACGATAACATCGATATTGGATCATGCGATGATAAATATCATAAAATTTGTTTTGCCGGAACAAATGGTTGGCTGAAATGTGCCGCGCAGCGGCACATGTCAGCCAACCATTTGCTCTGACAAAACAAATTTCATAATATTAATCATTGCATGACCAATATCGTATAATTGTTTTTATTTTTTATTTTTTTAACAATACTATGTTTTCAAATTAGGTTACGTTAATTGAACTTAGGATCATTTTAATTTTAGGTTTCGTCTTTCGTCATCATGCGGAAAGGAACTTACCTAACAACTACCACCGTACGGTGCTGACTACAGTACCCCTGCTATAATACCCCAATAGAAAAGACCCGGGTATAATTCATGGGTTCATGATTCAGGAAATTGAAAAAGACCCGAGTATAGATATATATATACTTAGATTTAAAATCCTTATTAAATAATATTGAAATTATGTAAAGCACCCCCTATTATAATACCCTCCCCATAACTAGTACCCAGGTGGGTACTATTCAAGAAATTCGATGGTTTACCCGGGTATTGTAGTCAGTGCCGTACGGTATAAGCTAGTGGTTAACAGATGATGGTCAATAGCTGGTTGTTAACAACTAGTAGTTAACAATTGGTGGTAGACACAGCTAATAGATTAGAATGAACAAGCGGCACTCTTTACCCTGACACCTCTAGCAAGCATTATTACTAATCAGGTTTATCGTTATGAGTCATGCATAAACTTATCTTTATGTATAAATAAGTATGAATCAGGCATATTAATATCGATGAGTCATGCATAAACTTTAACTTCTAAAAAAAAGTGCGCAAAAAATTTTTTTTTGTGCTGCGCACAATCCGCACAGTGAAAAATAATCGCTGATCACAATACTTTAATCGTGGCCGCTCATTATTTTTCGGCTATGACTAAGTCGATAAATTTTATCAGCTTAGCCAGCTTGGTCGTTTAATCAATTTTAATCCGGAATTTACTAAAAATTTGGCCTCAACCTTGCTCGTATTTTAGGATTGACAATCCTAGCTTTTGGTTAAGGCAAGACGATCAGCCGATTTTAAAAAAAATCGACCGGCTAAGCCGATAACTTGCTTTAACTGATTTTTTTCTCTATCTCGTCGATTATTTAATAATTAGATGTCCAGGTTAATCGAATATCCATTTATGTCAAATACCCGAGTAAACTAAATATTTATTTATTTAAACCGCATATGATAAACAATGGTTTGATAAAAATGTAAACTGGTTGGTAATTTTTTCGGTTCGGGTAATAGGTTATACGGCTATCCGGATAATAGGTAGAACCTTAACTGTATGTATTATATATCGATATATATATATATATATATATATATAATTTACATATATTTGTTTATAAATTCGCGATAAAACATCTTACTTGAATTATCTATTACTGTACATACCGTAAAAAAAAAAAAAAACGTAGACTATGGAGGAAGACATACCTAGTGATGAAGAACAAAGTAGGTATATTATTTCGATAATTAAACGGCAAAAAAAAAAGAAAAAAATTCTAAGGCATCAGTTAATTAAAAATAAAAATACATCCTATATAATATAATTATGAAATTTTGTATTGCATAATAAGTATATGTCCAAGATTTTCTAAGCGAACAAAACCGTCAGATACAATCCGGAGAGCCCTCATCCGCCAAACTAAAAAGACTGTGTCAAACTGAGGCAAAAAAAAAATTATTTCTCAAAATTGACCTTCAAAAAGTCGAAATTTTCACCAATGATGCTTGTACTCATAATTATGTAAATGATTCCAGAAAAGATTATATGTCGTTTTTAGTCAAGTATCAGAGGAATGAAGTATCTTTATGTTTATTTGGATGTAAGCATGAAATCGTGATTCCATGGCCAGAGTTAAAGGGATTTAGACTTGACCCATCGTCTGGTGTTCTAAAAATTAAAGTGGATTATGGATTTATGAGATTGGTATGAAATTTAATTGGGTAAATTTATTGACAATAGTTGTGATATCATTTCTTTATTATTATTTTACTAATAAATTATTTTATTTTACTGTATCATTAAGTACTATTTTCATAAAAATGGCTTTCCATATAAGTTACCACCAGTGACAATGGATAACGACCCTACTAATGGAGTATTATCTAATGCTGTTGGATTTTGTCTCTACCCAAAACCTTGGGAACACTTAAATACATTAATGGTAGTGGAAGCTGGCATAAATAGATTATGTTTTGCTGACGTGAAAAAAGAAAATAAATTACTAATAGTGAATAAAAAAGAACAAGTATTTATTATTATAATTATTACTTATTACCGTTGTTGGTCACTGACAGTATCCCCCAAATAATAACCCCGTGATTAAGACCCACCCATCTGGCTTAATAACTATATTACTTTCCATATGATATATTCCCCAAAAATATAGTACCCGGTTCCTCACACAATACTATTCAATTTTAAAAATGAAGTTTTTGAATAAGACCCGGGTACTGTATGCAGTGGCCAACGGTAATTAAGATCAAGATTCAAGTAATTAACTTTGATAACATGATAATTATGTTTGTAGGATGGATCTAATTCTTTTAATGATAAGGTAATAATAAATCTTTATTATTTTAATAAAATCTATCTATAAAAAAAAAATTTATTAATTGTTTACTAATTGTTAAAATTATAAAAAGATCTTTGTCCAATGTATTTTTACAACACAAATACATGATCTAACATTATCTATAGATAGCACATTCTTTGATTTCTTGATATTAGTAAATCAACAATTTAGATTTTCACCAGAATGGATTGAGTATTTTGACAGGAAGAGTAATGAGAAGATTAGTATCACAGATGAAGAGGATTGGAAGATTGCAAAATATAGCTATATTAAAACAAAAAAAGGATTGGATGATGAGACATTAAAGATTTTTTTAACACAATAAGTATAGTAAAAAAATTAAAAAATTGATTTAGGATCAAAAATTATTTAATAAAATTTAAAATATTTATAGCTTCAATTTTATTTTTATTTAATTAAATGTAAAATTATATTAGATAATTTTTATTACTTTATTTTATATTTAAACTTTACAATTTATCTAAATATAAATATTTCAAGACAAACAATATTGTAATAATTGATTGATTAAAAAATATAAAAACCTTTAAAATAATATTAAATATATAAAATAAGTAAATATATTTTGCTTGTAATTTTATCTATTTACCGTATTTACGAGTAATTACGCGCATCTTCACATGTGCAAGTGCGGTAATTCGAATCATTTTGACGAACTTGGGTTATCAGAGGAAGCCCTGCTTTTAATAATAAAATGATCCTGCAAAATATGTAACATTATATATTTAAAAGGGCGCGTTATTTTGGAACGCACATGGGTGTTATTTTGAGTTAAAAAACAATTTTCAAAAAATGGGAATTTTTTTCAAGATTATTTTAAATAATAAATTTGTATTTTTCTAAACTGGAACTACAAGCACACACTGTATTTTAAAAACTTTTACTAGTATAGCGCACTTTATATATTGTATTTTGGAAAAATATTTTAAAAAAATACATTTAATATAAATAATTTTAAAAAAAGATATAATTTTATTTTAAAGAATTAAAAAATTATATTATAAATTTTCAAATAATGAATAAGAGCATTATTTTAAAAATTGCATCTCTAAAAATAGTATAGTTAAATGGAAATAATCTTTGTCGCGGCTGATTCTGAAAGGTCCCCATTTAAATATATTCTATATCTACTAAAATTCACATATACTTTTTTACTAACAACACTAACCCTAAACCCTAACCTAACATTAAAAAAAAACCTAACAAAGGCCCCAAATAGTTTTAAAATCTCATAATAAAATAGGTCAAAATTTCAGCATCAGCGCGACAATATTTATATGCATTCTAAAATAATATAAACTTATTGATACATCAGCAAGTTTATAATATAGTACAATCATGTTTTAAAATTAACTTGCTTTAAAATAACACATATAAGCATTTAAAATAATATTGAGTGGTTAGTAGAAAACAAGCAAATTGGTTTTATTAAATTTTTTTTTAAATTTTGAGCAAGAATATTTAATAACTAACTGATCAAATTTAATAAAAAACTTATAATTCTATAGTATTTTAATTATAGGTGAGTTATATATATAATGGTTTAAATTTCAGATTACACAAGATTTTTGGGAGTTCTGACCATTTTTACTTGGTATTTTAACCCAAATTACTTAATACGTTTTTGAGAAACAGGAACCTATGGTGCAGAATAGTAAAATCACAAAAAATATATATTATACTATATATATAATATATTATATATATATTAAAAAATAGCTAATCTTTATAAATTATTATTTATAGAATTATAAGATAAAAAAGAATAAATATTTTACAACTATAATAAACCAATTTTACTATATATCAAAATTTCCTGTTCTTATTATTGATTTGATTTTTTATCTTTGCTATCATCTTTTATTTTAATTTTTAATAAACTATTATTTAAGTATTCTAATTAAAATTTTCTTGTTAAAAAATTTATGTACTGTATGTTTATACCGTATTGTCGCGAAATAACGGGTATGGGCGTTATTTAGAAAATCGCGTTCCCTAAAAATAGCATGCATGGTTTCAAAATAACGAGCACCTCATATTGGGGCTTCAACAAGTAAATAAATACTGTATAACAGACAGTTAGAAGAAACTTCATCTTTGTCTCAAAATAAAGCCCATGTGTGTGCTCTAAATAGCGCGCATATACTCAATAACGCGCAGGTGGGCGTTATTTCACAACAATACGATAGTATTAAAAGTGCTATAATTCAAAAAAACAAATAATTTTTAATAAAAATTTTTATATATTTGTTGCTTTTTTATTAAAGTTACTATTCTGCTAAAATAGATTTTATTTGGTTTATAATTTAAAATAATAATACTTTATTAATATCTAAATTGGCATTTAATATATAAATATAAAAATTAACCAATTATAATTGATTATATAATCTTCAAATTTGGTATTTTTGAAGATTTGTTGCTGACTAGTACTGTATATGATTTAAAAAATCTTATGCTTAAGGTTATACACAAAATATATCCCCAAGAAATCACGATTAATCAAAGCTTTTTTTCACAAGTAAAGCATCTAACACAGCAAGAATTGTCCATTTACGATTTTCAGCTTCTTGAAATACAACAGATCTTGGTGAATAAAATACCTATAATATAATTGTTTATACAATGTAAATTAATAAAGTATAAAAGAAGAGAAATACAAAAGGTCATAAAATTATTAGTAAAGAAAGTAATTACTTCATCAGTAACTTCTTCCTGCTTTCTTGGAAGACAATGTAAAAATTTCCAATTAGGTTTAGCTCCACCTTCTTTTGCTAATGATGATGTTACTTGATATCCTGCAAAGTCTTTAAGACGTTTCGCCTTTTCAGATTCTTGTCCCATACTAATCCTATTTATCGCAATGATAATATCATATTAATAATTAAAACTTTACCATCAAAAAAATAAAAATAAAAAATTTTGAATACCAAGTATCAGTAACAATAACATCAGCATCCTTAACAGCTTCTTTAGGATCATGCGTGAAACTAATTTTAGTATTAGTTTTAACTGCCTCATTTTGTGCAATTTTTACCACTTCCTTGTCCGCATCATATCCTTTTGGCGTAGCCACCGATAGATGTACACCTAATTTCGGGAATGTTACTAACATACTATGCAAAATATTATTACCATCTCCAATCCATGCAACTTTCAACCCTGGAAGTGTTTTTTCAGGATGTGTTAAATGTGCAATATATGATGACTCGTCTTTGGGTTGAGGCCCAAATACTTCATGCATTGTCATTAGATCTGCAAGAATTTGTGTTGGATGATATCTATCTGATAATGCATTTATCACAGGAACAGTGGAATATTTTGCTAGTGTCTAATTTATATGATTCAATAAGTTATGAGAGATAATGATACATAAAATAAAAATATCAATCATAAATTACTACCTCAATATCTGAATGGGGACCAACACGCGCCATTATCCCGTCTACCATGCTAGACACAACTTTGCTGGTATCCAATAAAGATTCATTTACACCTAATTGAATATCTTGAGATCCTAAGAACATTGGTTGACCACCTACGAATTAAAAAATAATTTGACCTGAATTAATTCACGTGATCAAACTGGGCTGATGATCAAATCCAAGTTTAGTACCGTATTTCGCTATGGAGAGTACCCGTATCTCTTATAATTTCCGGGTATACTATATAGCAGAGGGTATACTTTATGAGGTAGAGATGTGCTTCACGCGAGATAATCCTAGCATATAATGTGATCTTGCGTGACTTACTATCGATTGTTATTTATCTCGTGCAAGATATAACTCGTGTGATTTAATTACGCGAGGATAATATCAGCATCTCGCGCAAAGGCACATCTTTATGAGGGATCTTGTGTATAGGGGGAATATATTTTTGATTATATTTGTGTTTTCGTAATTTATGTTAATATAAATGTTAACATTGCAATATATAAAAATCGAAAGAGCTTTAAATATATACCCGGGTCTTGTACAAAACATACAAGTAATAAACTGGTAATATACCCAGTCTTGTACCAAATATACAAGTAATTAAACTGGTAGTATACCCAGTATAAGCAAAATACGGTAATATAGTAAATTCAAAAAATTAATACCAAGATAAGCTATCGCAGTTTCAGTGGCAACTCTTGTTCTTGTAGATCTTTTTGAAAACAATATCGCCAAAGTCTTGCCACTTAAAGGTTGATCCGATTTTTTATTCAAATACCTTACATTATGTTTATGCTGAATAGCTGATGTTAATAGATTGTAAATTTGTTTAGATGATAAATCGACATGAGTTATATAATGAATTCCTGGCGGTGCTGGTTCGATATTTAACGACGTTGAATAAGAGTTCACCCCAAGATAATTAAAATGTGAAATTGGCGAAATCCATTTATTGGTTGAGTTAACGTTTGATGAAGTTCGATTGATTAAAAATTTAGCTTTTGCGATAGGAAAGAGACGACGATTTATCAACATTGTCAATTAAGGTGAATTTCAACTTTGGAGAAAAAATTATCTTTATTTAATTATTTCATCTGATCAGCACAATAATATAATCTTTGATTCACAATCTCAAAGTGTAAACATAAGATCTTTGTGCAGAGATAATCTATAATCAATTAACGTTAACAAATGTTTGACAAATTAAATTGTGAATTTTGATCAATCCAAATCAATCTTGCATAGTGCTTTCGATTGGCTAATTTTTGTATAGTCATTTCAGAGATTTGATTAGCTAATATAATTATACTCGAAATATTGAATTTTTATAAACTATTAAAAAAATATATAGATAACGATAAAAAATATATTTTAAACAAAGAATTAACCGACTTTCAGTAAGTACTGGCGTCTCATTTAACCAAGGGCTGCACAAAATGGATCATCCTTGTCTGCAATTATTTTCAAAGTGTTTCGGATAGATTGTTAATATTCGGTAAAACGAAATCTATAGCCTATGACTTAATTTTACAGTGCAGTCTACCCTCATTAATATCAATCTAAGCCATGGAATGAATTTTTACAAATTTTATTCCCTCATATATATCAACTTTAATATAATCCCTTGTTAATATCACTATCAACATGAATTTAAACCAATTCAAATGGGTTGATATAAACGAGAATAAGACTGTATTATCTTAACATCGATTATCATATAACCATAGGACCTACTACCTCATCTATTTTAAGAAACATTCTGAAGTACAAAAACACTGATCAATATATAGAATAGATTCATTTTGATGTGCATCAAATTCGTCCACATCTACTACTTAATCAGTGGCCAATCTATTGGCTTTACAACTCATTTATCACCCTTTGTCTATGAAACCGTTATCGAAAATACAATTATCTTTTAAAAGTAGTATATCTTAGGCTAAATTAATGGGTTTGGAATTTCTTCAGAACCATAATACAATTCGAAAATTGTCAGGATGCTTTAACCGCATATTGATTAAGAGAAGTAAAATCCATCATTATGGCGGGATTAAGCATATCCGTTGTCAAAAACATGTGAATTATGTGCAGACTGTAAAAACGAGAAATTCTTGAATTGATATCTGCATTTTTTAGGGTATAAAGATTAACACCTTGAAAAATTGAGAAATCCCTGATCAACTTTACCCAGTTTGACAGATTCTAACACTAATTAATGCCCAATAAGCATAATTAGCGTATATGTAACGTGAATTCTGGTAATATTTATTTTCTAACATTTAGTACAACGCGAGTAATAATAATTTTGTACAAAACTTGATTATATCCGATCTACCAAAATAATTTACATTCGAGAAAAGAAAAGTAAACAATAAATTTAATACCGAATTTTTCATAGTAAAATTACAGCAACCTCCATAAATAATATTTGTTAGTGATAGTTATAAAATTAAACAATGATGGAAACATATCATTCCTTCCTCAGAAGAAATAAATAAATCCTATTCTATTACATCAAAATTCATAGTTTACTAGGTTTACCATTCACTTGTTCACAAATGTTTTTCATATCTCTTAGTGCTTTAATAATGCTTTCTTTTAATGCTTTAGAATCAGTCTCTGATGATGAGAATTTTGATTCTATACCAAATTTCATTATATGTCCGCCTTATATGTAAAAGGATAAATATTAAACATTTAATAGATGATATGAAATAATTAACATTATAAGTTGAAATTTCTCTTGATATTTACCTGGAAGATAGTTAATTCCATAGCCATTAGGGTAAACACATCCAAATCCAGTTCCTTTAAACAACATCATTATATATTATTGTATTAATATCTTTTAAATATATATATATATATTATATCAAACATAACCGAATGTTAAAACATACCACTAAAATAATCACCAGAAGTTAAGCTACTTGTACTCAATAGCCATTCCTGACTTTTTGCAAAGATTGGTTCTTCAAAAATTGGATGAGACTCTCCCTTTTGTAACAAAAGCCGAAGCCCGAGCAAATGACGATCGCAGCCTTTACCATTAGATGCATCTATTGAGTAATTAGTGTGTGCCTTAGTCGCAGCTTGTAATCGATCATACTTTTGTTGAACCTATAAAATCAAATAATAGACGAATTAAACTAAGTTATAATTTAATAAAATTTTTCATTTTCAAAAAAAGGGTATTTCACAGACATACACTCAACGATTTATCCAACATCCCTTCTACAAATGCCTTACTCTCCACACTTAAAGTTCGAACTGTTTCAGTGCGTCCTCGCAAAAATTTTCTTGTTGCACCTGTCTCATAAGTTGGAACAACTCGACCGTGAAGTTGATAATATGCCAACTGTAAAGCCATTTGAAGATATGCATCTGGTGAACATTTTCCTAATAGTAATAATAATAATAATTATTAAATAATAATATTACGAGTTTACATATAAAAAACACTATGTTAACCCTATGATCAAAGCGGGTCTTAATATAATTTAGCGCGGGTTTCACCCTGACATATAATATATATATAAATAATATATAAATTTCTATAATGACTATTTACCAATCTTCTTTATTAAAGATGTTCCATATTCTGAAAATTGCAAAATAGTTGCATCAGAATCAGCAATTAACTCTCTAGTTTTACTCTCAGCAGCCCTAATATCCTTTAGTGTTTGTTCATTAGTAATAAAACGAATTCGGAAAGGAGAAGGTATAGGACGACCAGATAACTGCGCATTTAGTGAAGTAGGCTCTTTGAGAATCCATTCACTAGCAAATGCAGGTATAAGCGCGTCACAAGGAGAATGCTAATAAAAGATATCGTGTCATTACCATATTACAAAATTAAATAAGTAAATCACAGGTCGAATGAAGGCACATATCGGGATTACGTGATGTCGATTCGATTGGTGCTTGATTTGCCTTCATTCGACCTGTGAATATTTTATAAAGAATTATACCTCTCCATTCATCCCTGCACGTCCATTACTATCTACAATAATTGATATTTCTTTATCGAACCAACGGTTATGACCATCAAAACCATGAAATATATTTCCAAGAAATTTATCAAGATCAGTTCCCGTTGCATAGTCATCCAAATTGACAGCAAATAATGAATTCTCAATAAAAGTCAATGTTTCTCGGTTTTGTGGTGAAATTGCTAGTAATCGTTCTCGTGACTTGTAAAAAATGGGTTAATAATAAACCTAAGATTAAAATATAACAAAAAATTCATTTAGAGACATACCATAGTCCAAGAATCACGATCATCTGCAGTGAGAATACCAACTGGTGGATCAATCTGGGCCTTTTTAACATCAGCAATAATGTCATTAAGCTGCCTTTATTCAAATATAATTATTAGAATTTGATTCTTTTTTTTTTTATCGTTATTTATTAAATATCACTTATTTTTCGGTTGAATTTTTTTCTATGATTGATCAATTTTATTTTTAGTGAA